TTGTCTGTAATGAGGTAAAAGAACAAATTCTATGGCATATAAGTGGGTATTTAGTGATAGTAAAAAAGGTATTGCAGCTAGAATCAAGAATTATGAAATAGACCAGGTTGGAATTTTTAGAGTTGAGAGGTTAAACACCTGCAAGATTTTAAACTGAACATTTGCATTTATGTGATTCACAGAATGGTTAAAGATCAACCAAAACTTTGGCAGGCAGCCTGGTTATTGAGTGCTCTACCTACAATTGTAGGGCTTCTAAGCCTTCCAAAGAACAATACCAAACAACTTTACATTTATGCATTTGCAACATTATTTATTGGGGTTGGTCCTCTAGCATTTGGTGCTTGTGTAATGGTTCAAGAAATCTTCTATAATGTTAGTCAAGGAAGAGCACCAGCTACCCAGGAACATCAGATGGCACCAATGAAAATGGCATTGTCAGCTTTCCTGATTCAATTTCATGGAATCAGTTTGTATTACGCAAACAAGCTCATTACTGCATGGAGTTCCAAGGGAGAGAAAAAGAACTCATAATGCATCACAAATCTGAACTTAGTTAGAAGGCTACAGAAGGATATCATCAGAGAGAATAGAACTATTCCTCCAAGAACTGGACAGTATGAATTAAGTCAAAAAGAAAAATGCTTATGGCTTCAATTAACAAAAGCAGTAAAATTTCCAGTCCAACGTTGGTATTCTAGAACCTATGAATTTTCATTGAATTCTAAGTGTAACAGGTATTTGGTGAAATACTTGTAACCATAGTTAGTCAATTATTCTGTTGTAACTAAGAACACTCTTGGATCAAACACCAAACTTGTTACCTGAAGACCTGTTTCAGGTCCATGCAAGTAGTGTAGAAACGGAGGAGATCTAACAAATGTAAGTTAGAAGAGAATCTTGTTTCCCTAGGCTTCAATTTATACCTTTTCCTCTCCAGTTTTGCAGGATTTTTAGGAAAAGGTTCTGCAAGCTGGTTGTGACAGAAAAACTGATTAGTTACTTGGGGTTAGGCATATGTACACCAACAACTTTGATCCACTTTCCCTTTATCAGTCAATTTGAGTGTCAGAAGCGAGCTAAGAAAGCTAGAAACCTTTAGTCAGTAGGAACTAGGTTGAAATTAGGTTGAAATTAGGTTTTCCTGTATGTAATAATTTATGCAATAATATTCTTTAAATACTAGTCAATTACTTCTGTTGTTCAGCTAAATATTTTATTTGAAATATTCTACTAAGACTATAATAAAAAATTAGATGTACTTCATTTCTAAAAAGTTTAAATTAGTAGGATGCTGAAAATACAGTCTTGATAATATATAAATACTACCATCCTTCAGTGTTCTGTCTGGCATTCAATGTTTCACTTCTGCTTGCGTGCTTTCATTTTTTCTCTTATCTCAAATATTGCAAAGATCTTGACAGTGACTGTAACTGTTGCTACAGCAACCTTTTCTTGAAAAGTCAGTTGTTCCATATCCTTGTTTTCAAGTGACATCTCTCTACTGTTTCCTACAAATTCTTCATAATGCTCCTCTCGTATCAGGATTGGTGGTCCAAGTGATTGGTTGAACATTTGAACAACTTCTAGAGCTTTGCTCTTTGCATTTCTGACTGCACAAACACAGGCTTGCCGTCTGAAGCAAAATGATAAATAAACTATGGAAAAAGTTTGCCTTTTCTGTTGGTTGGGGGTTAGGGGATTTCTGAATCTTCAGACTAAGTGCACACACTTTGACTGGAGAGGGACTAGCAAAGAAAGAGTTGAGGAGGGCAGCCTTCTCCTTCTAAGCAACATGACCTTCAAGTTGGTTTCTTATAATCCATAATTGAAAAGCACATGATCCATGATCTACCTATCCCTGGAAGCACTACACTCAAAGAATCCCACAGCTTACTGATTTAGTTGACAATGACATCACTGTAAGCAGTTATCAACCTTTTTACTCCAAAGATCCTGATATAACTTCTCCTCTACAGTATGTATCCTATACAATTCTTGTGATTGTGGCTCTGAGAAGTTAGTGTTGAAAACCAAAAAGATCCCTTTTTCGTAATTTTTTTCTACCCGTTACTTTTATTTTGGGTTGATAATATATAATAATATTAGCCTTTTCCACCCCAAGGTCAGTATGCATATTCTCCATGCTGTCTATATTTTTCCTAAGGTGCTGTCAAGGAGATTTTGCTTAACAATCAAGAGCTCCTGTACTTTTTGATCGTTTCCAAAATTCTAATGACCTTAATGTTTGATTAAGAGGTGACACTTAAAGGAGAAATTAGATGCTGTAAGGAGAGAGACCTCGATTGTCACTTCTGTGAGTGCACTGCAGTATTACAGCCCTTGAGGTAGCTAAGGTGAATGGGGGTCCAAGGTAAGGCTTTCAAGAATATATTTAGTAAACATAAATAAGTTACTGTAGAGATTCCTGTTTTAATTTGGAAATAAGGTAGTCAGTATCAAGATTCTTCCAGTTTGAGCTTGCAAGCTTCAGTGCTTGGGTCGTGTTGCAAGTAGACTGCATCCTCTAGCTTACCTTAATGATTCAAGCTTGCTAGCTGTGTGATATAGCACAGGACTTGATACTTTCACTGTTTCATCGAGCTTTTCCACAAGCAGGTTACACACTTCTTCACACTTGGAGAAATCACTGAATTCTACAACTACTTCAATTTCCATTTGATATAGGTTATTGATTCTGTTTAAAATTTTGTGAACGATAAAGTCTTTGACATGGTGAGATTTCAGAGTCTGCAGAACGTAGTCGACTCTGCGATTTACACTTGTCTTCACCACCTCCACAGATTCCTATAGATAAAAAATTAAACAACTTCCAGTCACAGCAATAAGCTACTTGCAGGTAAAACCGTGTTCGTTTTCTCTGTGCATCAGGTTTTTCAGCTTTCGAATAAACACGCAGTTTTACTGAAAACTAGCTCTCAGTTAATCCCTCCATCAACATATTTATACAAATTCGCCTTAGTCGCTTACCTTGGTATTGGAACAGACAATCGAAACCTTAGCTTTATCAGGAGGAAGAGTAACTTCTCCAGTCTCGAATATCTGAATTTCTCGTCTATTGTCAAACGCTCCTTCGAGTTTCGAGTCCATTTTTTCCGGATTTACACCCTCATTTTCGCTCATTGAAGTAAACTCAGCAAAAACTTTAGCTGGACTATGCTTTCTGGGTTCCAATCGACTCATTTCGTAACAAAAATATCCCAAAAAAGCCGAAGATGCCGAAATATGTGCAGTGACTTCAAAAACCACAACAAACAAAATCTTAACGGCGGTGACCAGTCTTAGAGCCCAGTTCTCCCCGAGTAAGATCGTGAGCGCTGCCATAGCCTAGCGCATTTTACCAAAACAACTGAACAAGGAAATGATGGAAAGAGATTTATTGCGGGAGATGATAAAATATTTGGGACGAGACTGGTATATAGCTCGTTAGCTGACAAGCACTAACGCGGTGAAAAATTAGTATGGAGTACTTTGTGATGCTCCTCAAATTTCCGCGCTTATTTATTGCTATAATATGCCCACTGAACGTAACTCAGCTCTGGCTATGACAATCTGAGTTGTTCTCATTCTTTTCCAACGAAACCATTATTTTACAGATAATTTCAAAATAATCTATTGACATTTGAAGACACAGACGTTAAATCAAATTTTTACCGGGCTTCGCTGCTTCATTCCAATTGTAAACAGAAACTTCTCTTAATACTATAGATCTTCTCTTTGTGACAAGTTTATTGATCCTTAGGCTAACTGCAGAGACAGTTTTATTTGCCAAGTCTTTTGGAAAAGGATGAATTCTTTTATGTCCTATGGTGCTTCCCAACTCTGGAGTCGAAATCCAACCGTCTTTAGTTTTCAGCTTTAGTTCATATTTCATGACTAATTGACCATATCTCTCAATATCTTCCATCAGGATAACAGAACCATTGAGACTTCTAAATGCTGTAAACTTCCAAATTTTCTTCTTTCCAATTTTTAATCTAGGCTTGAATGATTTTTTAACAGGATCTTTGTATAACAGTGCAATCGCCTTTCCCAGTTTCTCGTATGCCTTACGATCCTCCTCGGGTACCAGCCCGCGGGTATCGGGATTGAGGTTCAGAATCAATGTACATCCATGACCCACGCTTGTTAGATATTCACTCAAAAGTCTGCGGACACTTTTCACTGAGTACTCCGTGTCAGGTTGCCAGAACCAAAAGTGTTCACGAATAACGGTATCGCAGTTTGCGGGACAGAACAGCTGACCATACGGGCTTCCTTGAATTATTTTACCTGTAACAGAAGGGAAAAATAAAAATGAAACCTTATGATTCCAAATAAGATTATGTTTTTTCAATGTTTAATTCTTTGAAGTTGCGATTCCAACCAGAAACAGCCAGTAAGCTGGAGTTTTTATATGGAAATGACCAGTTTGGTGACAAGACTTTTAACTCACCATCTGGTGTCTTCTTAGAGCATTTTCCTTTGGGTACGGCGTACCACTGCGGTAAAGGTGCAAACGCCTTTTCGTTACCAACCCAGTGTAATCCTTGATTACCAGAAAACGTGGGACATTCGTCACAGATTGAGTTACTGGCTAACTTACGTATGATTGGCCCGATATCAGGACTCACTTTTGGGACAATACCAGCATCAAACCAAATGTAAAAAGGGTCTTTATATGGAGAGGTAGCATTAAACAATTCACGCATTTGTTCTTCTACAACCTTTTTATAGTACTCTTGTGTTGCAGGAACACCAGTGGTGTAATTATCCACTCCCATGTACCAATTATTATGCACACTATAAAAGTATCCATATTCCAAACCATATTTTCGGCAGGACTTGATAAAGTCAGCCAGGACGTTTCCCTTTCCGTCTCTCCACTTTGTGTATTTAACGGAGTATTTGTAGTCTGTTGCAGTAGGCCACATGAGAAACCCGCTGAAGTGGTCGATAGAAAAAAGGATATATTTGGCACCGAAACTCTTAGCTGCCTCAAGCCATTGATCTGTTGAAAGCTCTTCTGGGTTGAAAGTGTCCACGGGCACAACATGACCTAGCAAACATACAATATGGTTTAGATGAATGGAATGAAACAGGGAGAACTTCCTTTCTATGCGTCTCTTTTTACGCTTGTTACCGACACACTTCTAAACAACGGCCTGCTACGTAGGCAAAGGGACTTGTTCTTAGTACCAGGTACTAGGTGATCATGATCCTTGACTCTATCAGACACTGATCATTTCCTTAAAGCCGTATTTCGATTGATATTTGCATCCCCTGAGCAGCGTAACAATGGAATGTGAAAACAACTCAAGGGCTTTCGAAACTAGTCCGGCAACATAATTTGGTCTGGATGGAAAGGCGAATAAACAAGATTGCCACACAAACGGAAAATTGAAAAAACAAACTATTTCCACTGGACAAGAAATTAGTTTATTTTCCGCCTGAACTCGGAGTTTCAGTAAAATCTGCCCAGCTGTCAAAATCAAAATGTACAAACAATAGGGTATTTTTCGGTTTGTTATGAAATCGAAACTATTACTAAAGGAAACATTCGATTCTTTCCCTAAAAATTCCTCACAGACCCGTTTAGCAAAGCACACAGTAACTGGCATAAACACGTCATTGTTAAAGGAGAAATTTTGTTACCTGGCTTCATATAGCGGTTAAACGTTTGCATATTGAAATGAACAATCGCTCCCACTTCATAATCCAGCCATTTTGCTTGGGTTTTGGTCGGTTTTGGTACCTTAAAAGTACTTACAATTCCCATCCAGCAGGCATATAGACTAATTCCTAAAACTAACAAGATGTGAAGATTTACCATCCTGTTAATGGTCTGAGTACCTGACAATATAGGTTTGCTTTGTGCTTTTTAAATTGAGGAAAAAAGATGTCACGTTTCTGGAGGTGGTAAAATATAAATACCTGCTGACAGGTCGCATAGCACGCCCGATTAAAGGCCCATTTCCAACCTTGATGCAACGCGGTCGTTTGTTTTTTTTTCGAACCACCGCTTTTGTTTAAATCGCGCCTCTGATTGGTCAGTTATTTTTACCTTGTCACGTCTCAAAATACCTTCTGCGTTTTCTCCGATGAATTTGAAGAGCTTATCAAAATAATTCTGTTTAAAACGATTCTATACGTTCTAATCCGGTATGGAATCAGATGAATCCACTGATTTAGTAGATTCCGAGGCAGTAAACGCTTATGGATCAGTTGTTGCTAAAGAGGAACGCGAAAATCCTTGCGAGCGGCATTTCGAAGAAGGTGAAAATGTTGATCCACCACGTTTTCATTCATTCATCAATTTTTTTTCATTGAAGTTTGCCATCGTTGTTAAATAGGACCAAGGGTCAGTCGAAGTTTCCTGTCCGTCGAGAAGAACTTGCGCTTGAGAGAGTGGTCGAGGTTGTTGTCCATGCAAAGCAGCAGATAAGAATTGTAACGGAAACTGTCAGTGTCGCTGACGTTCCTGCAATGAAGTGACTAAACTTAAAATAATTAAACGTCCAGCAGTCCGATATTTTTCCATATTTCTCTTCGAAATCCAAAAAATATTTATACGAAAATGTTCTGCCTTTATTTACAATCCTCAAGCGCTTCCAGGCAGCCTAAAATTTCGAACTTGATGTTTCTCGCTAACCCTGTATACAGAGTACGAAGCCATCCAAGCGATACGGCCGGACACGGTCCTCAACTAACTCTATATTTCTCTTTGAAATATACCAATTTTTCGTTAGAGAATATTCTACCTTCATTTACAATCCTTAAGCACTTCTAGAAAGTGAAAAAAAATGCCAACGTTATCCGTTTCGCTGACCTTGTGCACAGAGTGCGAAGAGATCCAAGCATGCCACAAAGAAAATTTTCACCGGACACTACCGGACACGGTCTTCAATTAACTAAACGTCCGGCAGTCTGGTATTTTTCCATATTTCTCTGTTAAAAATACCAATTTCTACTGAAAATATTTAATCTTCATTTAGAATCTTCAAGCGCTTCTAGAGAGTGAAAAAATTTGAACGTTGTCCTTTTCGCCGACTCTGTTCACAAAGTACGAAGAGATCCAAGCGTGACACTTTCCTCGGATTCTTCTGGACAAATTCAAAATACTGTTAGGAAACTGTAAAATGACGAACGGCGAATGTATTAACCGTAAAATAGTTGACTATATGTCCAGGGTGGCTCTTGAGAAAGACGATTTTAGAAGATTTTCAGTGATCTGGGAATTTAGTGTTACAGGAAATTGGGTCGCGGCGCGCGTTGCATCAAGGTTGAAAATGGGCCTTTAACGTTTTTTTAAGGCTCTGGTTTATGGCGGAGCTCGCAGAGCGTAGCCCCATAATTATACAAAATAGTAGTAACCCATCAAGCCAAAAAATTTGGATGTACAACTGTACGACCGTACAAGGTGCTACTTTTATCATGCGTGGTCAACTGTACCGCGGGCACGCCAACGCCACGGTTTTGTCCTGTAGTCCAGTGGTCAGTGCACTAGGCTCCGAGTCGGACGACCCTGGTTCTAGTCCTGGCCGGGGCAAGGCATTGTGCCCTTTAGTCGTGCGGGAATAAAAAAAAATGCGAGCTCTGCTTTTAGGCTTAGCTAAATCCATATATTATTTCTATGTCACGGATTTATTTGGAGTAACTTGCTTCAAAATTAAAGGCAATCTTGAAAATCATCTCCCAAAATAGGTGAACATTCAAGAGATGCGAACAAGTTAAAAATGGAACGAGAATGTCTTTAAAAGATGAATTTTCCAATAGACACGAACTGCGACGTAGCTCTTCCAGACAAGAAAGTGGCTTACGCAAATCATAATTCCGCCGTGATTGTTTATTTTTTAGCCAGAACCATAACAAGATAAAGCAAAAAAATTAAAATGAAGATACGAAGAGCAGAAACACCGAAAAAAAAAAAAATATGCCAGTTGCTACGTAAGATTGCGGTCTTCGTGCTAGTAGTGCCATATCTGGCTCGGTTACTGCAGCTTCCTCGAGTCTGTACAGTAGAATAGTAAAATATTGAAAAGTTCACAGAAAAATGTAAAAGGAAACCTAAGACTTTTGGATTAAAAAGCTTAATATCTTATACGGGTATTTCGTTGGTATTTCGTTGGTATTTCGTTGATATAATATTCTGTTTTGAGCTATACCAAAATGCTTGCACATTTTCAAACACCGTGACTTAATGGTTGCTGTTTCTATGTGACTCCTATAATGCAATGTGGCTCGGACAGCCTGAAGGATGATGTTGGCTCGCTGAACAAGGCAAAAGTGCCGAAATGTTTCGAATACAGATGAAATGAATTGAAACAGTTTTCAAAATGATTCTAATCTTTAATCATCTCTTGGAAATTCTACCATTATGTATCGCAATGATATTTTTTTTAGATTTTCTTATATATAATATAATTCTTTAGAATGTGGCTTATAGAGAAAATTCTTAACTTACCGGTTCGTATCTAAAAGCAAGATAAAAAAAAGTAATGCATTAAAATGTAATTAGTAGAAGGGTGGAAGTTGGTTTTAGTTATTCTGAACATGGAAATGTCAAGAAAATATACATATCAGCAATGCTGTTAATTCGAAAAAATTTTTTCGTTTATTTAACATTGCAGGAGGATAAAATCTTTTTTGGAGGTATCGTTCTTCGTTTCATTTATTCGCGTTTTCATCCCTTTTGCGTTGAATCTGATTTGAGCTTTCCAAGTTTAAGCTCCAGTGTTGCTCGATTTTCCATCATCTATGAAGAAAACAAAAAAGGAAACTCATGATGAGCGAGAGATATTTCTCGAAAGAATTCAAGGCAAAGACTACTGAGAGAAATGCTCAATCTTATTATATAGTGGTCGTCGGAAAATACTCATCATAATCCTACCGTTTTCAATTCCTCTTGAAGTTCACTGTTAACTTTAGATAGCACAGCATTCTTTTCTTTCAAATCATTTATTCTCGAATTTAATTTGTCTTCCTTGGTTAGTGGCCTACGAAGAAGAGAAAAAGGTCAAATGCAAGCAATAGTATCAAAGGTTCGACGGTTAATCGATACTTCACATGAAAAAAGGGATTTCGCCGAAAACTATAACTTATTATTCCTTCCTTTGAACTACGAGGTCACTGTAAATTGGCTATAAAAGTACGTCGCGCGCAATCTCCTTTGTGGGGAATGGACGAGGGCATGTCATACTAATGAGCTGATAAATAAATTAAATGCTTAACATGATTAATTTATAGGTACCATTTATGACTGTGTTAGTAGAAGACGGACAAAGTTTTACCTTACTACAACTTTTGGCGGTTCCGTTTTAAGTTTTCTCTCTTTTTCTCCATCTTTGTCTACTCTTCGTCCTTGTTTTAATGTTGGAGGACTTGGAGGTTTCTGAAGATGGCGGTTAAAAAGGAAAAACAGAACACAGTTATTGACGGACATCTTGGTGAGTTAGAAATGGAATGAATGAATGAAGTGAAATTGAAGTGTGGCTACAAACTTCCGGTGCTAGAATGCGCAGTCTGAGACTTGGGCAGCTACTTTTAGAAGCAGACCTCCCCATGCCTACTGAGATCTAATCTAACTTCACATCACCTTTTGCAATAATAGTAGATTAAATGACACGTACCAACTTCGGAACTGGCCGTGGTAAGGCCTCCTGGGCGTGAGTTGGTCTGCTTGCTGCTGTCGTGACTCCTAAAGAACAGAAGAACTAAGAGTAAGTGACACATAGCAAGTGTTCTTCTTAAACCAAAATAACGGAATACACATTGCAAAAATTCTTAAGCCAAAGCTTCTTCATGCCTCACCTTCATTTGAAGCCTTCTGAGCAGGAGTTGACCGAGACCACCCTAACTCCTAGGGCAAGGAATGTAAACAAAAAGAAATCTTCTTATCTTCAACATTAAAAGAAAATTCTCGGCGTGACCTTTTTAAAGTTTATTTCATAAGCAGATGTTAAATTCAGTCGCTGCTTTCCATTGCCCAGCATGCTGCCTTTTGGCAGTTGACCTTCAGCAATAGAGGTAACTACGGTAACGCATTTAACAAAGCTCACACAAAAGTGCGCGTATCTCAGTGAGAAAGATGAAACAGGGATAAACGAAAATCTTAAACCCTTACATGTGAGTGGTCGAGTGAAAATGATCGCCTATGAATCCCGGGGCGAGTGGATGAACCACGTGTGCCTTCGCCTTCCTGTGCTTCCACAAAACTTTCAAATCTGCTGAAGTCAGCAAAATCTTCCTGTTTCTCTACTTTTTCCTGGTCGGCTACAACTTTCTCTTGTTCGGCACTATTCTCTTTTCTGTGTCTGGGTGTGTTAGGTTCGCTCTTTGCTGGCGCTGCACTGTCACTCGTCTGAAAATACAGAACTATTTTTGAAACCATGTATTTGACGCATGGAATATTTAAGCTACTTTTTAACCAAGCTTGCTGTAATTTTGCCAGTTTGATCAAAACCGTATTCACGCACCTGACTGGAAAAGCTTGACGACGGTGATGGTGGTGTTCCTATAAAATAATAAGAAAAATATTGAGCTGATAACTCGAGAAATTCTGATACCACGGAATTGTCAAAATATGCAGATTAAAGAAAGAACATTCCGTAGGTCTGTTCACGGTCGCTATAAATAGGAACGATATCATTACTAAAGCTTGTGAACAGAGAGGCTTTCAATTTAAAAATGTAAAACGTTATCGATATAACATATTTCTAACAGTAGCACAAAACACGTATCGAATATCGCTGGACTAGACAGAAGTAATAAAATGTTTCACATACCGCGAAGTAGTGTATTGTATAAACTGAGCGACTGTGGCGTTTGAAACTGATCCAAACGTTTCATCAAGCATTTATTACCTCAACGAAGCGTGGGATAAGGAATGCCAAGGAGCTCTAAATTTTAAGGTCCTTGCACAGTAAAAAATGCAGTATTTACAGAATGATGATAAACAACAAAGCAAGACATTTCTACTGAGGAATTAATTTCTATACCTCTATTTTCCTTGGCTTTCGTAGCAAAGAGCTTATTGAGATCCAACGAAGAAGATCTTGAATGACCTTTCTTGTTCCTAGGGGGTGGGGGAGGTGGATCTTTCTTTCCTTCTGAAGACACAGAACTCTGACCCTCTTCTTCGACTGGTGTTGTCACTAAACCAGAATCACTTTTAGTATTAAGTTTCACATCTCCAGTCGACCTCGGCCTCTCACCGCTTCTCCTATTCACTCGATAGACTACTTCTTCCTTTCCGGCTTCCTCCTTAGGTTCTTCCTCTTCCTGTTCCTCCTGTGCCAGAGGAGGAGGTGAAGGTGTCCTCATTCCCTCAGGGGAAAGTGGTGAAGTAGGAGTGTCTTCTTCAGGTGAAGAGGGAGGTGATTCGGAAGGTTCAGGGGAGCTAGAATCTTTTTGACGAGGTGATGCCTGATAAATAAATTTATTAGTGGGTGTCCAGCCATCACGGGCTTGTTTTCCAGATGGAGGGGGGAGCAGCTGCCCTGGAAGGGCATCAAGAAGGCTAGGTTTGACTGCTGCTCTTGGTCGTGCTATCTCTATCTCTGCTGTAACGTGGGTGGGACTAAGAGGTCCAGTGTGTGGCACATCACCTTGCTGAGCAGGCGTACTTGGCATGTTGACTTGAAGAGGGCTCACAGGATTACCAAGGTTGATTATTTTGCTTGATTGGCCATCTGTTGAAGCATCCTCAACAGAAGCTGGATCTGACAGTGACCTGGGTCTTCCAGCACTGTCCTCACTTTCCTTGAGGGCACCGTGTGATGGTGAGGCTTGTACAACTGACAGCTACCAAAAATTAACATAACACCAGCATAAAAGTACAGCCCATTGTGCACTTTCAAGCAAAGAGCAAACTTTAAAAATTAAAAACTAAGGAAATAAACTACAACTTAGAACATTTTTTAGTTTTCACAATGTTTAAGTTTACTCACTGCTTTCCTCCTCATAGGCAAGTTGTTAAACTTAGTGTGCTGTGCAGTGCTTCCAGAGGAACCACTAAAACGTAACCAGTGCTGTGCAGACAGATAGTGCAAAATAATGGGTACAGTGCATACTAACAAAAACATCATTAATCACTGTACATTGCAACTGTTAGTGCAAATACGGATAATTTCTTTAGAGAAATGTTTGATTGAGTGAAAAATCAACCAGAAAGGCCTTGCATTTAATTCACCATGTGCTGTGACTAGTCTGCAAAACTTTTGCCATCCTTTCCTACAATTTGCTGAAAAACTAAAGCAAATCAGGCCTTGGTTTTCCGACAGTGTGTTAAGCCAGTCTTTGGGAGTATGAGTATGATGATTTTTTTCCTGAATTGCTACAGTGTTTGCTTTATTTCTGATTTCTTGGCACCCAATCAAAAAGTTTTCTGTGCAAACAATGTGACATAGACAATACCACAGACAAACTTTCCATATCAAAAATGATGTCAACAAAATTAAACATATATAATATAGTGCTATCATTTAACAAGTAAACAGACAAATTTCTCCACATAATCTTACATTCCAATTCTGCCTCAAGCAAGAGACGTCTAAAATTCAACCACAGCACACCCATGTTTGCCTTTACAAATTTCTTTCCAGAAGAGTTCATCAAAACTCTTTCCCAAGGGGTTTTAAGGATGATGAAAACTAATAGTAATTCATTACAGATGTCAATAGAAATCAATAAGAGATATATGATCCTGACATGCTATGAACTAAGAGTTCAAGAGGCATCAAAATATTTTTCTCTTCCTTCTGACTCCCACAGGGGATTACACCAACAAAAAGGGATAATTTCCTTCTTGCCTAGATATTTTTAATTATAAAAGTGCCAAATTGCAAGGTGTAACTTACATGCAGGTGTCACAGTTAGTAATCTATCCTAAGTGTGATCATTTCTAACAGTACTAACAATGATGTACCTCTGGTGAGGAAACATTCCTTCTTATACTCTCTGGTTCTTCACCTTCATCTGTTTGAGGTGGCACATCAATTGGACACATATCCACTAGAAATTGTCATGAAAAAGGGATATGCAGAATAAAGCACAAAGTGACTTTTGACAAAACTTTCCTTTCCCAGTGCATTAAAGAATGCAGGTCAATTGGGAAGGAAAAACTACCAGTCTATCAAAAATCACCTTCAGTTTTCCTTGTCTCTGCCCCTTTGGAGAATGTAGCAGTTTCATTCAAACTAAAATAGCAGGCAAATTATTTGCCCTATCCCAATAAAGGTTGCACTTTTTTACAGCTTAATAAACAACAATTTTGGATACTTACTTCAATTTGATAATTTTGACCACTGAACAGAATGGAGCTCATTCTTTTACACTGTGACATTTTACCTATTTCAACTCCGTTTTCTTTTCAATCAAAATGTGATCAGCGCATTTTGAACTTAGAAATCTTGTCTTGGATTTGCATTTTAATTTTTCAATTTAATTATAGTGTTTTTTTTTAAATCACTAAAATTTTTAATTTCAAAGTAGCACTTTTGATGAAGGTTATTAAAGAAGATTCTTCATCTCAAGGTAAAAAAAATAATAATAAAAAATCCTTGATATTTATGATTCCAAAACTTATCATTGTTGTACACTTTTTCCTGGCACCTCTTGAAATTGTCTCCATGAGTAAATCTCATTAGTCTTCTGAATTCTGGAAATTAGTAACTCATTCAATGCCAGTTCATATTTTACAGTGAGGTGTTTGGAAACCACACAATCACCCACATTTAATATCAGCTCATAACCATTAAGTTTTGCAATAGCACAGAGAATGCCATATGTACCTTCACTCTTTTCTGGTAACAAGACAGTAGGTAAGGTCAATGGCAGTTCCAGGCCATGTCGCATAGCTACAACAAGATGCATTGCTATGCAGAACTCATCCAAATTCAAAGCATTGTCCTTATTGAGGTCTGACAAGTGCCTTAAAAGAGTACACAAGAAAATAATAAATTCACATAACGGCCATACCATCCCAGAAAATATGGATCAACTGCCAACAATTCATTGTTGCATACCATATTTTGGATAGCACCTCAACTGGTAAGCCAGATTTCATGAAAAAATCCCTTGCTCTTGGTCCTACAATGCCAAGATAAAAAATTAACAAATTGTGCTCACAAAGGTAACATTACTATTAACACAATTATACATTAACAAGACCATTCTCATGACAGCCATTCTCTGTTAAGCAAAAGATGTGCATAAAATTACCAATCTGAATCAGCCCTTCCCTTCCTATAGGGCAAGTCATTGACTGTATATAATATTATTTCCCACAATTGTTGACAAAAGTGAACAGGATTATTAATAATTCTGTTGTTACCTTTCACAACACCATCTATAGCTGGTTGCAGTCTTAGAAACTGTTTTGTGTAATATTCTCTTTGATCAGGCAAAATGCACCACACATTATCTTCTGATTCCTCTTCAATGCTGCTGACACTTTCTGCAAAACTCGCCAGTGATGGAGCTCTGAAGGAGGAAATATAACTTTAAAAATCATGTAGTACAATGTACAATGTAGTACAATGTAGTACAGAACATACCTAAGGAGAACTTCACCCTCTTCACCCGCAAGCTCAGGAGAACTGCTGCGATCAACATCTTCATCACTGGAGCTGTGTTCTTCATCCAGTTCATTAACGACAGGTATTTGTTGAAGAGAAGCACTTGGAGGGAATGCTGCCCACTGTGTATTGTTCGTTGTATTTGCATTATTTTTGTCTTGCATCCATGTCCCTGAAAATGAGTAGTATGATTGAGAACTAATTGAGAACAAATTATTTGTAACCTGTGAATACATAATACAAGTTTTTTGATGAAGAACATAATAACAACTAATAAGTGATAACTAAAAACCATCCCTAATCTTCATCTGACCATAATCATTGATTAATAATTTTATGATCACATGCTCACACTGTGTGAGAATATAATTTATTAACCTTGGACTTTCATGATCTGAGGGCAAATTATTACAGTAAGTTATTACTGCATTATTTAGGGGTGGAGGACTTGCTGGGGGTTTCACTGCCCAACCAGGCTGCCCTGAACTCTGTATCTGTTCACCTAACCAAAACAATAAAGTTTATTTAAAAATATCTGTAATTTTATAAATATTATAATTTGGAACAATGATAAGATGGAAAAAATACTGACAATATGTGTAATTTACCTGTAGAAACAGGTAGGGACTGAGTTCTTGCAAGCACATTGCCATGGTGAGATCCTGCAATTACTTGACCACTGTACACAACACCTTGAACAGGAGGTCCAACAGGGATAGTCTGGTGATATTGTGCCCCAGCATAATGACCTTGCTGGTATGATTGTGTAACAAATTGTCCTGATATTTGCTGAGGTGGGGGTCCTGGGGACTGGAAGGGTGTTGTGATAAAGTGAGCTTGCTGTGCAGGTACCATATAGACAGCAGGCATTTGCTGTTGTGACTGCTGTGGCCAGTTTCCTCTCTGCTGCAAGTGTTGTGAGGGAACTTGTTGGATTGCTGTAGATCTGGGTGGTGGTGGAATTACAATGTTTCCTGGATAAACACCTGTTCCTGGAACAGTAACTGCTGGGGATCCCACTGGCGATGTTATACCATCGGGATCAGGATTCACTGCAGCCATATCAACCATTTCAGCTGGCTGTACTTTAGATGAGCCTGTTATTGAACTGTTATGGTGTACATCTTTCTTACCATCTGCTTTCTTAAAAGTCATTTTTTTCTTTTTGTCTGTTTTGCAAATAGAAAAAAAATTGTTCCTTAGCTTTGTACCAATCAGGATGGTAATCCAATATGATGTTTTCCAAAGTGTACTTTTTAAGAGAAAAGTACTGCTAGGAATACGGCAATTAGGGTGATATGCCAGTACTCTAGTAAATTTCAGGATACAAGTGTATGCAGAGAAACGTAGCCCAAAATTAAGACAACATAAGGTTCAAGAGCTTTGCCATAATATGCATCCATCAAACCTTTTTCTCTTAAGAGTGATAGCATCTAATTTCTCCTGACAATATCACCCAGAATCAATCATTAAAGACACGTGAACAAAAGAAATGATCAACAATTAAAGGGGCTCTTGATTGTTCACAAATTCTCCATGTCAGGACCTAAAGAAATGTACTGAGGACAGTAGGGAGAATGTGCATACTGATGTTAGGGTGTAAATGGTTAGGCATAAACTATAACATGATACTGAAAACTTTTTGTTAAACAATACACACTGTCTTGTAAAGTACCTGCTGATTCTACAAACTTTTCTTTTTCTCTCTTTTTCTTATCTTGTCTATTGGCAACTTCATCATCTCCTTCTTCAACAAGCAAAGTGCGGTTCATATCTATAAATCGTGGATGAAATGAAGTGCCAAACAGTGTTTACATAAACAATATTGTACTTCAGCTTTCTTGTGCATAAGAAGGCATCTATCTGACTGACAAACTGCTTTTACTGATGGGAAATACATTTCAATTGAGTGGAATGTTAGTGTACAATTTTACACAAGGTTACCAAGTCATAGAGAAGTTATGAACAGCCTTTGAGGGCTTCCTACTATGCAGCTGTTTTGAAAAGAAAAAATCAACATGTATTGCATTTCTGTTATCAATATTCTTGGTATATATTGCCAATGTAACAAATACAAGTTCAAGGATGTTTTTATTTCAGCATTTAACTATTAAATTTACCAGTAAAATGCTAAATGCATTTTCAAGTGTACAGATGAGTGATTTCAGCAGTAACTTCCGACATCAGCAATGTCAAAAGCATACTTATTCAAGTTAGACATGTTGGGGTAGTACTCAGATTGACACATAAAGCAATACATAAACCAATACAGCGAGTGAAATTAAATAGCCAGGTATTTAACACTTTTAAGTTGGATACTTTCAGTTTTAAAAAGGAACAGTACATGTGTCGTTTAATTTAAACGATTAGGAAATTTTCCCTTAAACTCTATGAGACTCTTAATTCACAAAGTTTCAAACAGGAACTTCTAAATTTAGCAAAAAATAGATATGCTCTGTCGAGTAGCATGAACTGTACACCGCTGACAAAAGTTCTTGAAGTAACAATGGAATGAAATAAGATGAATCAAGGCCTGTTTATTGACTGAGAACAAAATAATATTGTTTGAATTCAAGCCCAACATTTACGACTAAGAAATTGCACTTAGAATATTATCTGATACCTACCAAAGTGGAACATGTAAGTCAAGATTTTTGTTATCAAACACGCGACTTCACCTTTCAGTGGTCAAATTTATGTGTAATTTAAGCTACATAATCCGCGTAAACAATCCGAAAAGCTCTAAATGTCACATTTACTACGTTCTTACCTTTAAAAAGTCAATTATGTGCGAAGGAATTAGGTTTTCATCCAGTTTGCGATCAACTTCGATATCCTCTTCAGCAAGTCGTCGTGGATTTCGCTTTCAGTAAAAGACGGAAATTCTTCGAAAGGGCCAAAAAGTCAATCATTGTGAGCCAATTAACATTTTCCTACCGTAGGCCTCTTGTGTGATTGAATTAGGAGCTTTAATAAACCAAATATTTCACAAAATCACCAATTTCCTTAACTGAGGAGTGGAAATCTGCGGCCATATTGGAACATAGTCACGTGCCAAAATATGCACTCCCAGACACTCCCGGATGACAACGAGGCAGAGAATCAGCTATGTTAAATCACTTCCGGTTCACCTTTTCAGCCATTCTGAAGAGGTTTACCTCCGACAGCTGAGGACCCTATTGAGTGGTAATTAGCGCTTGATTTTCATTCCTCTTTTTAAAAGGAAAAATATTCCCGTCCTTGGGCAATTCACGACTACCGAGCAGAAGAGTAAATAAGTCAGTGATGGATTAGGATAAAACGAACTCGAATATCCGGCAGCAGTTAGGGGGCGACCCTTTGAAGAGAAGCTGTGTGCCCTTTTATGAGTGGAATCGAGTCAAATGAGGATTTCGGTTTCGGTTGCGATTCGGTCGCATCACAAATTTCATAGGCGTGGACGGCTTTTCGAGGAGCGTTTTTTTTTCGTTTCTCTTTCAGGTGACAGGCTGTAGCTTCTACGAGGCGTGAATCTTGACTGCCGTCAGAAAGAAAACTAACCAATAACCCCTTAATGCGGCGAGTTTTTATCAAGATTTTTCATCATCAATGAACGCTGCACTTCCCGCCTTCGCAATGTTTACTATTTTCATATCCATATTTGTATCTTTATTCATCATCGTTTTTCCTTTAAATCATGTATATAGTGTTTTTCTTGTTTTTTCTTTCGTTATTGATCTCTTCGGGTTCATTTCTCATTCATGTCAACAATTTTAACATTAAAAATACACAACTCCGATACAGTCTGTATTTTATTTCACATCTTATTTTTCCCATGATTCATTCGGACCTTAAACTGAGGCAAGAAAAAGTGAAACTGAGAGTAAACAGAGTAAGCTTCCTTAAGGTGTGCTGACGAACACACTAATTAAGTTTATGAACATTTGCCGCAGAATAATGTACACCCTGTGCAAGAGAAGACGATTACGACCCTTCATTACAGAGGATGAAAATCGTAGTAACAGTCCATTTCATTAGGTAGTCGATTTGCCCCGAGGAGACTCGCTCGACGTGACACGAAACTTAAGGCAATTTGGTCTCATGCCATCTCTTGATAGGCTGGGTGGATCGACTTTCATTACGGGGAGTTGACCACTGTGCAAAGCTGCCTTCAACGACATTCGCTTCTTAAACGAGAGTGAACCAAAAGAAAGCAACACTTATTGACGACCGTCTCTTGACACGATGTATTCCAAGGGTCTCTGTTCTTCCAATCCATGGGGTGAGAACATGAAACAATGACATTATGCACTTATTGACTGAAATGGGTCGGGGGGAATATTTGCCTCGAGGTCGTGCAAGGTCCGTATGTCATGACCATGTGATTTAGACGTGCGTGCATATCATAGAAATAAAATAATGTTCATTGTTCTGTGGACTGTTACTGAAAGCTTAGAATTGTCTTACGATTTATAAACAAACCAAATAATTTAACATCTGTTGTCCGCTAGTGTTTCATGTGTTATCCATTTGAAAAACCATTAGTAAACTGAGGTGAAAGATTGAGTCTTTTCTCCAGAAAATTTTGCAAGTTTACTCTGGTACGATAATAATTTGATTACACTTTACCCCTGTATTACAAGGGACAAGGAGCGTAGGGTCATTAGTCCTTCTCACGTCACAGCGCACAGCCCTCATATCGGGACTTTCGTTAAATGATTTTCAATAAAAGCACTCGCGGGGTCGAACGGCTCACATAGTGATGGCCATTATATAAATTATTCTTACTAGCTGCAGTCATTTCCAGTATCCTTAGGTTAAAAATAATTACAGATGCCAGCGTATTCCTTCAGTCTCAAAAGAGTATATTTCTCTTGTAAATTGTCCGGATCAGTTTCTCTTTACTGCTTCCTGATATTTCAAATCAATCAGACTCCACACAAAACATTGCAGCAAAATTTCTCTTGTGCCTAGGTTCATGACACAGAATGCTAAGATTTCGCCGTCTGACATATTACCCACCGAAAAAAGTCACTTCTGCAACAACGCCAGTGCTTTGTGCAAATTCTCGACTGCTGTTTGGACGTCCTCGTATTGTAAGGCACTGGCGGCAAAGCGGCAATATTTCTGAGCCTTTTCGTTATCCTCAGGAGATAAGCTGCTAGTTAGTGGCGTCGCCGAAGACGGTATAGTTGGTGGCACCACTGGGTGGACAGGTGCGACTGTAGGAGACTGACACAAAAATTGATTAAAAGTATCAGTAATTTAAAAATGGTTTAATTTACTATTGTTAGCGAGCGAGATTAAGCATATCGGTTTTTGTGTCTGCCTTCAGATGTTTAGTAACTTGGGTGAAAAAAATTGCCGTCATCAAAGAAAATGCCCTTTTTTCTTCGGTTTATTTTTCCCCTAAATTACATGTACTCAATTAACTCTTTTGAGCAGAGCGCGAATTTATGTCATGACAAGTTGAACACGTCATCGGCATAAAAAGGTGGGCAGCGAAGTTGAAACTCCTCTTGCTGAGACACTTACCGGCTGTGCACTCGGCTGTGCACTCGGATGTGCACTCGGCTGTGCAGGTGGTGTTGGAAAATGTGTGTGATCGGGAGGGTATGGCTGAGAGGGAAACTGTCCTGGTATTCCACTTGTGGTGGTAGGGTAAGGAGGCTGCTGTGTGTTGGTAGGGTAAGGAGGCTGCTGTGTGTCGGTAGGACCTAAGGGAGGGTAAGGTGCCATCCCTCCCTCAGCCTCCCCACCCAGATTTTCATCATCTCCACCAGCAGGACCTGGTATAGGTGTTTCTCCGCTTTTCAGACACTTGTGAATGTAAGCTGCCTTCCATTTAGCATATTTACAGTGATGCAATGCCTATGGAGTAAAAAAAAAGCTTATCAACAATCCAGGTAAGATGCAAAAAATCCCAAACAGAATCCTTACTGAAATTTAGGCAAAAACAATCAATGTTGTGTTTGAATTCAAAATCTGTTTACATGGACTATTCTTGACATGGTCTTTACCATTTCAAACTTTCAAACAGGGTTTCCAATAAATTTTTCCATGAGTGGTTGCTGATGTTGCAAAAGGCAGCTGTGTCATAAGGCAAAACCCAAAGACAAGAGCCTGTTCACAAGCTGAACAGAGGGCAATGACTGGTCTTACAGGTGGGGATAACTAACAAATTCAGTTGCTATAGAGCTTATTTCAATTGAGCATTGTAAAGCTGAAACCAATGCAATCAGAACAGTCAAGCTGAGGATAGAAGAATACCACAATGTGCCAATGAGCAGGGATGTCATTGAAAGCCAGAAGGTGATGGAAACACACCAGCCATGAGGCCATTTCGCATGTTGCTTTACCACACACCTGCTTGCTACCCAAGCATTATTCATTTCAGCCACCTTCTCATTCCAGATCATTAATCTATTAGATTTTGTGATAACAACCCTAAATGAGAGTGCAACAAAAAGAAACAAGCACACTGCTATTAGGATAGGAAAATGCAAATGACCATATTGCAATTGGTTTTCATTTTGAATTGGATTTGTTGAAAAAGTAGCTTGGTTTTCTGGACCATTTACATGTTCAGGGACATAGAGCAAAAGCAAAGCATTGCAAAATACCTTTGACACTTAGTTTATCATAATTCTAAGCTTATTTAGTTCATTACATTATATTTTTAAAAAGTAAACTCTTCCATTCACCTCTTCCGACAATTCTCCAAACTGTGCCAAAACATCATAGAGAAGACTGGCTGTGTAAAATGACTTGACAACATTTCTGGAAAGATTCACAAATGATCATTCAAAACACTTGGCATAAAAATGAGTTACAAAGCTCAAAGCTCAAAGTCATGAAGTCTTGGTTCAAAGCTACACATAAGAATGTTAAAAAAAAACATTAATTTAATAAAACCTCATGTTGCTTCAAGGTAAAAGATGCAGAAAAGCCAGTGGTTAGGAGACAGGACTCTGCAGTGCTCATAAGCAAGCTACTTTACTCAAATAGTCTCTCACTATCCAACAGTACACACAGGTACACACAAGCAGTGCCCCAGCTAAGAAAGATATTAAATGAGCATTCACCTAGTCACTCATATACAAATAATGAAATGTCAAAATGTTTTGAATGCTCTTTTCAAATAAATATTTAGAAAAAATCAACCTACTTATTAAAATTTGCAGCACGGTCTTCAGTGTCTGCCCACAAAAATAACTGTACAGCTTTCTCCTCTATGTGAATCTTGGCAATATTATCATCAGAAACAGCTTCATGACCCTGCTCAATTAACTCTTTCTTTTTCTACCAGAAATAAAAAAAAAGGTTCAAAATGAAAGACTAGACATTATGTGAAATAGAAGTAAGGGCCTTAACCATTTGACTCCCAGAAGTGATTAACATGTAACTTCTTCTTACAATATCCATACATTATCCAGCAAACAGGTATTGAGAATACTCAAACTCATCAGGTACAAGATATTACCTTGATCAAACACCAAATTCTCGTAACCAATTTACAAGGACATGTGTAGCAGCTAGAGGGGAGAATTTACAATCAGATCTTGGGAGTCAAAGAGTTAAATAACATGACAGCAAGTTCACAGGTTAGAGGTATCCTCTTTAGAGTTGGCATTAAAAGCAGTTTAACTTTTCTTGTAACAATTTGAACCAAAATTGATTGTGTAAGAGTTAACACCCTTAGAGCAAAACAACAAAATTTTGAAACTGAACATGAAAGCCAGAAAGAGTTGTAATTAATAATAATATAGTTATATTTACCAATGTCACATAGTTGAAACAAATTTTAAGTGGCCCATTAATTGGTTTTTATTTTACTAGCTTGACATGTACAAATTATAACTAATGACATGGAAAGCATTATCATAGGTAAAAGGATTGAGAAAAACATGAGGTGAGGATACCATATGAAAAGAGATGGGAAGTGACAAATTTAAAAATTAAGCTAGAGCTCCAAGTCTCTCCCAAAATACTCCTATCACTCAATCCTAGCAACTCTACCTGCTGTGAAACATAACATGTAATTCACTTGAAAAGGATTACATTTTA